GTTAGGAAACAAAACTTCCAGAACACGGCCACACAGCCCAGAAGACCCACACCAGCCATCAATACCAACATCTTAAACTGTGCCTGGTAAGCAACTGGAAACCAGTGTAGCTCTTCAAGTACAGTTATCATATGATCCCTGTACTTGGCATCAATTAGCAACCTATCTGTCTTTTGCCTAGGTAACAGTTCTCGCTTATTTCCATCAAGGCCATCTTCTTTACTTTCTACAGCTACCTACAGGGCAACCATTAGCCATTGCAGCCACCCCTTTTTCCTGCAGACTGGCTATGGGGATCTCTGACCCCAAGGCTATTTCTGTTTTGGTTGCCTGAGAACGCAGAACCTCTCGGGCAACCAACATTTTTTCTTGGCCCAGGAGGAATACTGATCTAGTGGAAACTTCCCACAAGGTTGTTATTCTTACCAGTAACCACCATGGCTTTCTCCTGCCTTTCTCCCCCACTGCCAAGCTACTGCTGTCAGGGAATCAGGGATGCTCCTCTTTCTCTGCTGCCTCACTCTTCCATCCTTGCCATCTCAGGATAATGCTCTCCAGCAACGGTAAGGAACAGGAAAACAAAGGGTTCATGCTGAGTCAAGGGAAGGAGGGAGGAAGGCAGCATAGAAGGTAAAGAATCATCTCCCCCTTACTTGCTCCTTGCTTTCTGACACCAGCAGCAGAGGGTAGCTACTGTCCCTATTTAAGGAGAGTGACTCTACAGGCCTTGTTCCTCAGGTGTAGTAAAAGCATCACTGTGTGGGCAGCAATTTTGGTCTCATCGTATCTTCTTCCTGTAGCCAGGACAGTAAAAAAGGACATTTTCTGGGGCTGTGTGGATGAGCACTTAAAAAGACTTCCTTCTGAAGACACAGCTAACATCAGCCTGCCTACTTGGCAAGGTTGAGAGGAGTAGAAAATGAGGAAGTCAAAGGGAAAGGTAGTTAGGTTTTCTTTTTCTTCCTTTAACATTAGATTTTGTTAGTTTTCACTGCTTCTGTTTTAAAATGTAATAAAGTTATTTAAAAAAAAAAAAAAGGTAGTTCAAATAAATTATTGGATTGTCCCTGGAAGAATTGCAAGTTATGACTGCCCAGAGTTATATGTTGAATGGGAGGTCATAAAAATTGAAGAAACAAATCAAGATAGCAAGCATTTGACAAAAAGGCACCAGCAGTCAAGTCAACTTGATAGCACTTGACCAAGTAATTAAAGATTTATATTTTGAGTTTGGCAAAGTTTTTTAGATTTAGACGTAAAGTATTTGTCATACCACATCCAGAAAGCAAGCGATTGTGCAGTTCTGACTGTGCTACCTAGCAAAGAGAAGCATGCTTTTTTCCCCAACTTCTTTTGAATGCTCTCCAACATCTCTTGAATGCTGTATTGTTTTACTTTTTCCCTCTCAAAATCCAAAGAGAAAATAGAATTGACATTTGAGTTATTACCTTTTATATTGTTCTTTATCTCTGGTCCCAATAGTTTTCTCTTTAACAAATTCAGTTTTTGGGGATAGCCCTTTGGTGTTAATTGGTTTGCTTCCCATACTGCATGGAAATATATAAAGATGATCAATGTAAGATTACTTTGACTCCTATCATAATGTTATCTTGAATTCAGGAATGCTGAAACATTTTTCACTGTAATGAGTAGTAATTCTTTACATTTGTTGGTATCCAAAGGATAAAAGAGACAATGATGATATAAAATCTGCTAATCCTAATAAATTTAAAGCTGGAAAAATCTCGCTTACTCATTCAGAATATTTGTCATACCATACCATGTCTGAATGAACACGAGTTAAAAAGTGTGTACTTCCATCACAGGATGTTAAGGAGAAAAAAAAACTTAGTATATTAAGAATTATAAGCATCTGGTAACTTTTAATGATCAAATCAACCCATATGTTTAAAGAGGTCCAGTCAGATTTTTATATGCCACACAATCTAAAACCAAACACAACATTTGGCATTTAAGACACAATGGATTACAGGTAGTCCTCGGGTTAAGAATTCCCAGTTTACAGAAGAGAACCTACTGTAGGAAAATTCGATTTAAATACACAATGATTTAAGTTCATTACACAATACTACTTATACAGTATTATACAATAATGCTGTCCAACTTACATACAAATTTGACTTAAGGATAGACCTTGGGAATGGAACCCGTTCTTAAACTGGGGACTACCTGTATTATGAAAAGTTGTTGTTGTTGTTTTAAGTGATAATATCTACTCATTGAGCCCTAGGAGGAAGGCAATGGTAACCCACTTCCAAAAATGTTGCCCAGAAAACTCTGGATTTTTCCATGTAGTCTCCAGGAGTCAACACTGGCTCAAAGGCTACAACTAAATTAAATTAAATTAAAATAATAATAAAATAAAATATATTTTATATTTATAAAAAAATATAAAATAAATCTACTAACCCAATACCTGCTATTCCATTCTAATATATCCAGGCTTTGGAGGATGTTATTACATACAATGCACTCCACATTTTTAAAGAACTGGGATGTGGGTTGGAATTTACAAATTGTTCAAATCTGAGGTGGTATTGCTAGAAGATCTCTACAGTTAAAAAATTCTTGTGAGGCTTTTTGCTGACTGAAACTCCAGGTGTTTATATTATGGGAAATGTAATCAAATACATCTGGAAGTCACTAAATTAATCTATCTCAGGGAGTTTCAATTTTTTTCAGGTCAAGGAGCCTGTTAAGTTTTTTTTTTTTTTTTTAAACCCTTGAATCCCTGATCAAGAGGCAAAACTTTAGTGATAAAAAAAAAAATAGTTCCATTTGAGTGATTTTTTAAAAAATTGCTCTTAGCCTTTTGTGGAACCCCATCAAGTTCTCCTGATCTATCTATATTACTAGAAACTACTTTATGTGCCATAAAATAAATATATACTCTCTTTGGTTAATCATCTATTAAGCAAAGTTGTCTTTAAAATAAATGTACCCATAATTTCTAGAACTATAGTATGAATTTGATAATTCCATTCATTTTGAAGAAAATAAATTTCAGAACTATTTTCATTAAGTCAGCTGTATGGATTACCTGGTCTTGAAGTTTGCAAACTATACTCTTGGAACCTACTAGTGCCAACTGGCTGGGGAAAATATAATGACATAGCTTTGAATTTTTCAGCTGCAAATTAAAACACAACACAATCTCTGAGAGAGCAAAGAGGAAAAATGTGAGGAATTCTAATGAAAAATAAGGCTAATGAAATCAGATTTCTAAAATAAGAAAATGTAAGATATTTATTTATTTATTAAATTCATATGCCACCCATCTCTCCCAGAGGGTGACTCTGGGCAGCTCACAATTAACATCAAACATTAAAAACAGTAAAAATATAAATATCCATATTAAATTAGCTAAAAAATAATACTATCTAAAAAGACTATATACAATTCAAGATGGGGGGGGCAGAATCAATTACCCCACCAGCCAATTCCAACAATGCGAGCCTCCATCAGTCCCCCGGGCCATCTGGCATAGCCAAGATTTCACACTTTTCTAGAAGGCCATGAGAGTGAGGCGGACCGCACCTCAGGTGGAAGGTTGTTCCACAGGGCAGGGGCCACAGCAGAAAAGGCCCTCTTCCTAGACCCCACCAGCTGAAATTCCTTGACTGGAGAGTCCGCATCATGCCTCTTCTGCCAGACTGAGTGGGGAGGGCTGATATAGCTGATATATATTTATCCCCATATTCTGGATAAAAAATCAGACTCCAACTAGAAAAGTAATCAAAATAATGGGCAAAACTTTTGTAAATATATAGTATCATATTTGAAAAAGGAATGTTTTGTGTCGGATTGGTTTCCAATTAATTAGTTTCCTTAACACCAAATTATCCTCAGAATATTGTATTCTCAGAATATTGTAGAATAAAATTTGAGGTAACTTGAATTCTAAAAAAATAAAAACATACAGAGGATTTTAAGCTTCTCATGCTGTTTTTCAATTTGATTGTTCTTCATTGCCTCTGGATGATGTGTATGAGCCCAGGGCCTGCATAGAGCTTTATTTGGCAATCTTCTATTGTTTTGCCTTCTTTCTTGCTGGACCTTCCACTACTTTAGCATGCTAACTTCATAATTTACAGTAGGTATTCACTGAGCATGATGCTCTTTTTCAAATTTCTCCATTTGGTTAGTTATGCTGGCCCTAATTTCTATCCTGTGTCTCTCCAAGTCAGTTTACCCAAACAAGTGGCCTTTATGAATCAAATTGCAGGACAGCCAGCACCAGACAATGGCCATGGTAATCACTGCTACTGCCTATCTTTTAGATATTCCTGCAGCATCTCTTTTCAGGAACATTATAGAACAATGACATGATTATAGCAGTCAATGTTTGTGTAGCATCATTGCCCACAAGCTAGAAACGGGCTGACGCTTCTTTTGGTTTAGTGATTTTGTCTTCCATACTTCATTAGGTACCTAACCTAACTCTTGCAAGTAAACATATCAATCACCCGTATGTGTGATTTGCAGAGATCACGGAAAAGATCTATTCTGTACTGCCTCTAGATCGCTTTGTCTTTGGCCAAGCATTCCTGGTTCCTTGGGCTTCTGCAACAGTTTGGGGAAACTAAAGGGAGAGATGAGTAGAAGTTGCTCATTGGGATGGATGATCCAAGTCTTCGTTAGATCATCTTTCATGGTATATATCAACCTGGTCTTCAAAATGGTTAGAAGTAGCCCATTTAAACCCTTACAAGATGGAGATGTGGATAGCTCTGGTAGTTAGGGAAAACATCATTGTTCCACAATGTATATGATTACTGGATATGGTTATTGTTCCCATATAGAAATAAATCCTTTGGAAGTCTTTCTTGATACAAAGCTATTACTAAACATGCAGGCAATATCAGTAGCAAGCACTGTCTATGTCTAGCTGTCATTGGTTTGTAAGCTATAGGTATTCTTTAGTTAGTTAGCTAGTTAGTTATTTGGTAGATTGATATCCTGCCTTTCCTTCAGGAGCTCAAGCAACATACAGCGTATAGCGTTCCTCCTCCATTTTTTCCTCACAGCAAAAATTCTATGAAAAAAACAGATTTATGTCCTGCTTTTCTTTAAAGAGCTCAAGCCATTGTAGAGAGCATTCCCTCTTCAATTTCCCCCCCACAGCAACAACAGTGTAAGGGTAAGAAAATGTGACTTGCCCAAATGTGAGCTTCTATAGTTGAGTGTAAACTTAAGCCCGGATCTCCCCACTCCTAGTCTAACATCTTAACTACTGCACTACATCAATTATTACTGGACTGAATTGCCTGACCACAGCTATCTGTGCTCTAATAATTTCACAATTAGATTACTGCAATACATTTTATGTATGGTTAGCCTTGCAGACAATCCAAAAACTACAGTTAGTGTAGAACACAGCAGCTAGTGGGGAAGCTAAGTACAATCTTGTACCGCTCACCTTAAAGAAATGCATTGGCTGTCTATGAGCTGCTGGACCTTTTTTGTTTGCTTGTTTGATGACATCCAGTCACTTCTGACTCTTCATGGCCCAAAGGACATCGTATCACCAAAAATGTTTGTTGCTACCTGCTTCTTTGAGTTCTTGTAAACCATGCCTGTGTCATCATTGATAGTTACCTAGCTACCTAGTCTTCTGTTAATCTTTTTTTTTTAATTGCCTTCAATTTTTTCAAGCATCAAAACCTTCTCCAATTATTCTTGCCGTAATATTATGTGTCCAAAATAACTACATTTTAGGTTTATTATTAGTGCTTTTAGTGAACAGTCTGGTCTTAATGTTGAATTATTTATTCTTCTTGCAATCCAAAGTATTCTCAGCTACTTTCTCCTACACCATAATTCAAAGGCATCATTTTTTTCTTTCTTCTTCATTCAGTCTTTCTGAATAAAAAAAACTGTATGTATAACAAAAAATGTACACATTCCCTCTCAAAAAAGAAAAAATATTAGAAAACAGATTTTATAAATATGCAGAGGTCTATAGCTGTTGCAGTCAGATATAACTCTACCAATAGAAGAAGCTGAAGTTTCAATTTTTGGAATCAACTAGCCAATAAATAAAAATATACTCAATGCAAATGAAACAGTTGACCATTCAAAATATCTGACTACTTACACATTCAACAACTACTCAAAAATTCAAACTTTGCTATGATTTTAAATTGAATTATTCACAATAGGAAAGAAAAACTCACTTGGTTTCCTGAACATATAATAGTGAATCTGAATGCATATTTGTATACATCATTAACTCAATTACCTACCAAGAAGATGTTGTTGCAGAAATTGTTGCTGTGCAAGTTGCAATGTTTTTTGCAAGTTTGCTTTATAGCCTGGAAGCAGAGTCCTGTTATAGTCTAGTATTTCTTGCAATGCAATCTCGGCTGAAACAACAAGGTGGGCTCAAGTTTTAAAAAAGGTATTCTTCAGCCAAAATTCCTGCACTTCCTATTATACATACAGAATGAGTTCTATCTTCTGCAATGTTCTGACCTGATTCTACCCTTTCTTATAACATTAGAAAAGGATGTATATGTCATTGTTTAGATGCATTGGCAATAATACTTCTGTTTTTGTGGTTAACTTCTTCTGCCTATAGTGTATGAATTAATGAAAATTCAGCATTTTGTCCTAGAAACACAGAAGCCTGAATCAGGAATAATGCTATAATTATTTATGTTGCTTCAGGCAATAGTTTAACTATGCTTCTTATCAATTTGATTTATCTTACTGTATTATTTATCTGCATTTGCTTTGCTCACTCATATTTTATATGCAACTGAAGAATTTTAGGTATAAGCTCTTGCGCAAACTGTAACATTTACAGTTTGTTGAAGCATTTTAAACCTGTCTTGATTGAACTGCTAAAAACAATATACTGTCACGCTAAAAAAGAATATTTAAAAGTTGTCTTTGATTTTTACATGTTCTTGTTTTTTCGTCTTCTCATTCTTTATCTTTGATCTCCACCCTACATCTACTGTTTATAATAAGTGTCATCTCTTTAACAAAAAAGGAGACATTTTTGTTTGCTCATTTGTGTTCCCCTTCTCCTTTGCTACTGCAACATTTTATATCCTCAAGCACTTAACTCTATGAATAAACACAAATAGACAGTCCTCATCCAAAGACATGTTGACAGTTAGGAATAAGGTGCCATTCCTTTACAAGTAGAATGGAACTCTACCTTTGTTAAAAACCAAAACTTAAACTTATTCTTTCTTCTAACATACATACCTATGTCTCAAGATTCTTTTTGCTCCTTTATTCAAAGTCTAAATCAGGACTCTTTTTTATGCCTATCCCCAATTTCCCTCAAGAGACTGATCAATATACTTACCAGGTTGCTTGCTGAAATCAGCTGGTAGAAGACCAGATAATCTGTGCGAAGGCTGTGGGGTAAGTTTACCTTTAGTTCCCAGGTCTACTTCCTTCCCTGGAAGGAAAAGGGTTATAGCCAGTTTATAACAGGGAAACCAAAAAGTTCTTTATTAATTTAAAGAGTCTTTTTTATATATAATTATAAGCAAATGTTGATATATAGGCACAAAGCAATTTAGCATGTGTATTCTGCAGTATATCTCAACAGTTCTAAAAAGTTATAGATGCCTTACATAATAATTCTATGAAAATTCAATTATGTTCAAATAAGAGGTATATCTAGAAAGTCATTATTACTTACTTAGAATTTTGCTGCGCTGCTCCGAGACAGAACTGGTGGGTCTTCTGTCTGATATTGTTCTATCTAGTGCGGTCTCTTCAAATTTGATATTTCTAATCACTAAATAGAACAATTAAGAGAAAACAACTATATATAATAAACTCTAGTGCGTATGGAGAATGGCCTTGAAAGACAGAGGGAAGATCTGTTGCCAAAGCAATGATAAATAAGGCTTGAGTCCAGATCGAGAAGGTGGTTTATGAAAACACCTCAGATGCCTCCCCTCCTAATTTTCAAGAAGATAAAGATTAAAGAGGGAGGAAGGAAAGCACATTCAGACTTACAAGATTCTGCTGCTATAGCTGTTCTAATAAAAGTAGCTTTAGGTCTACACAGTATGTTTTTTAGTTTGGTCTACCTTATAGGGCTGACATAATCACAATGTAAAAAAGGTCATACATTGATATCTGAGGAATGATTTTCTAGAGTGACTAGCTGGAGCCTTATCTGTGTGTTGTACTTTGCAGTTAATTAGGTGATCCTGAGTTGGGCTTGACTCCTGGTCACTGCATGGACAGATCTTTTGTCATCTGACCTCTTTCCAGTAATAGCTCATAGCTCTTCCAAGGACATTCCAATAATCTGATCACAACATTCCACCATATCTGTTGTCTTTCCCTTTTCCTTCCCTTAATCTTGTGAAGCATAATCTGCTTCAGCTTTCAAGTTTTCCTGATTCATGCTTCTTACATTCTGTGTTCTGATTGTGGGTCCTTGTAAAGCAAGGAACTTCTCCTTCAGTGACCAGACTTCATTGTGATCTTGGCCCAGCCATATTATCACTTCAAGACCTATTCATAAAAGTTCTGCACTCTTCGCCAATATGAAGTGACTTCTACATGGGAGTCTAATAACTTGGCACTCAAACTCATCTAAATGTTATAGCCATGTCCATAGTTTTCTTGCCAAAAATACAGAAGTGGCCTTTTTCTCACCTCTACTTTGAGTTACTTTTAGCCCTCCCCTCATCCTTATCAGCAAGGGTGAATTTTCCTAGAGTTCTTGCTCACATATCTCTCAGAATCATTGCACGTACTGAGCCATCCCACCATAACAAGGTGGTTATTCAATGCCACTCCAAAATCAATGAATTGTGTATCACTGCGCATTATAATTGGTTGGATTTGTAGCTTCCATCAGCCACTCAGCTAAGAATTTTCAAAGCAGAAATGCCAAGAACCACTTAAATGAAGGGGCACCACACTTCAACAAACTTTATGTAACTTCAAAAAGCAAAAAAGAAATAAAATGTATCATTAATTTCTTCCAAGGAATCTAACAGTTTATAGATATAGTGGTGCTTAAACGTTTGTGAACCCTCTTGAATGTTCAATATTTCTGCATAAAAATGACCTAAAACGTGACACACTAGATCAAGAGAACCCAGTTACACAATTGAGTCAAAAACATTATATTTGTTCATTGATTTATTGAGGAAAATGATCCAAAGCTACATACTGTATTTGCATGTCGCAAAAACCTGTGAACCTCTAGGATTATCAGTTCATTTGAAGGGGAAATCAGAGTCAGGTGTTTCAATCAATGGGATGATATTCAGGCCTTATTTAAAGAACAAAATTCTGGGTATTCACTATCAAAGTCTGATCTTCACAACACAGGTATGTGGAAGTGTGTCATGGCTCAAACAAAGGAGATTTCTGAGGACCTCCAAAAGACAGTTGTTGATGCTCACCAGGCTGGAAAAGGTTACAAAACTATTTCCAAAGAGTTTGGATTCTACCAAACTCTGACATGGAGGCAATTCAACACCATTGTTACCGGGGGGGGGCGGGCAGAGCTGAGATCACGGCGAGACAGACGTGTTTCCACAGAGCTCTGTGGAAATCGCCGATATTCCCACCGTTTGGGGGTTTATTGGGACCGACCTTGCCCTGGAGGGGCAAAGGATAAGGCAGTAACCCTGTGGACCGAGGGGAGAGCCGCCAGCTCCCTGTCCGGTCCCATGGTAGCCGGATAACCAGCGGTGAAGAAAAGCAGCCATTTGGCTACTAAGAAGCCGGAGCAGCTCCGATTGAGAGAAAGTGAAAGAGAAACGAACAGCCAGAAACCTGGGTGAAATTATACACAAAAGAACAAAACTTAAACCTGATATTTAGAATTGGACTCATGGCTCTCTGAAATAATAAGAATAAGAAATGAAAAGTGCAGCTGGACTTTAAACGGAGAAGGCGGAGTAAAAGTGAAGGCAATTAGAGAGTGGAAAGAAGTGTGGGAAAGAAAGCAAATGGGAAAGAAGGGTACCTTTATGCTTTAAAAAAGTAACTGAAATCGGAATTGGTTTTAAGGCTTCCTCCTTACTTATTTTTTTTTTTTGTCTCGGATTAAAATTTCCCCTCTTTCCGTTTTTTTTTTGGGAGGACTATGCGATTCTTATTGAACCTCCCTCTTTTTTTTTTTTTTTTT